TGCTTCTGACAAATATTTTCTCCTCATGAAATAAATCATTTTAATATTTCGTTCTGAAAAAAAAACCTGTGTCCAGGCATGCACTGGTCATGCAAACTAAAGTTGCGCACCAGACAGTTATCAAACATTGATTGCTCCAATCCCCAGCCCAACAAACCGTGGTTTGGTCACCCAATTCTTGGGGCGCCCAGAGGCAGCTGGCAATCTTTTAGGTTTTGGGACATTTTTTCTCCAAAATCCTGGTTGCAGTGACTTTCCAGGCATTGGTGGACAGAATTATTTCTTACCACAGATTCTTTTTTGCTACAAAATTTCATCAATGTTAGGTTAGTTTAGCTTTGATGAATTTTATCTCGCAAAAATGTTCATCGGATGAAATTTAAAAAAAAAAAAAAGAGGAAAAACCATTCTCCTCACCAATGCCTGGACAGTCACTGCTATCACGATTTTAGATTTTTTTTAAATTCCTACAACCAGAGATTACCAGCTGCTGTTGGGTGATCAAACCACAGTTTGTTGCGCAACTGTGGTTTATATGACCAGCCGCTGACCTGGTACCAGAAAAACCTTTCTTCAAGCCTACCTACTTATTTTATGAAAATGTTGCACCATAGTGCACGCTTAGTTGTTTGTTGGAAAAAAAGCAGACTTTTTTCCACCATCAAGTCTTTCAAGCAAAACTATTTTGAGTCTGCAAAGAGTTTATGAAACTTTGCCAGTCTATAGAATTATTCAAATTTTCCCAATATATAAAAAAAATTTCAAGAAAATTTGCCAGTCCAACGGCCCATTGAGGTTCAGAAATACTGGTATAGAGTATTTGGCTTTGATTATTCCCAATAACATTCTCTCTCTCTCACTCAATCTCCAATTCAAGTCAACCTCCTTACCATCAAAAAATAGTGTCCTTTCCATTACAGTAGCTCGACTGAACATTTGACAAGAGGCTATTAATGAAAAGTGAGCCAAGCTTTCTTGCATCTGCAACACTGAAAATTGTTCATGCATTCTTGTTGGTGACGACGACGACGACGATGATGATGATGAAGACACGAGGAATGGAAGGGAGGGGGACTGAGGCAGGGAGGGGAAATCAAGGACACCTGGTGAGGCTCAAGCAGTGACAACCCGCCGCAGCTGACCAAATAAGGTGAACAAGTTCACTTCCCACCCGCCAGCCAGCCAGCCAGGCAGGAAGGCAGGGCAGAAGGAAATGAATGACCAGCACACTGGACACTGACACGCTGGTGCAAGCCACAATGGCTGCCACATTCTCCACATTTCGACAGGCACGCGCGCACGCACCTCCACTTCCACCTCACTCCTATCCCATTACCTTGCTGGACCGCGTAACTACTACATCATCACTAAAAAGTACTGTACTGCATTAAAAACCAGGGAGTCTGAGCGGAAGGGGAGCATGGAACCCCGATCTCCTGAGTAGACGATTTTTGTCAGAGCGGAGCAGAGCCCCCGAGCAATCAAATTTTTTTTCTGCTGCTTTCAGGCTTCAAGCCCGAGTTGAATTTTAGAAAGTTGGGGAAAGTCCCCTGGCCCTGGTATATACAATTGTTCGGCTGGTGCCAGCCAACAAAAATCCCTCATCTAGGATAAGTCCTTCAATACTAAACTGGAAACTATAGTTTATACGGTACACAACAAAATACAAGGATCCAAAAACATTGTTTTAGAGATGATTTGTTTTTTAGAACCTCTATACTGTAGGTGCCTATTTTTAAGAAGAAAATTTCTACATATTGTAAAAAAGAATCATTAAACATTTGAACTTCAATGGTCAAGATAATAATTCTAGATAGGGAGGTTCTCAGTTTGGAAAATAAGAATTGCGTTCAGGAATTGAACAAAGAATGCCAAAAAATTGTGACTTGCTAATATTTTCATGTTGCTTCTCAAATGAGTTGGCAGGATGCTGCACTTGGAGACAAGGGTTTATTTGCCCTATTATTCATCCACTTCCTTTCAAAATACCTTGAGTAAACCATCTTCATTAATTTACTTTTTCCTGTGTCAATAAAATAATAGCCAAAAAGCCTCTGCAAAATTGTAATCATGGAGTCTTGAAGCAAAAAGCTTTTCAGGAAGAGAGGTTATTTTTAAGCATTATTTCAGAGGGAATTCAAAAAGTGACTTGAAAAAAAAAACGCAAAATAAGTGGTTTCACCATTGGAGGTTAGAGTTATCAAGGACTCAAGGTTCAACTGTACTGTACTATACAGAGAAAATCATGGTGGAAATAACTTTCTGCTGCTTTCAGGCTTCAAGCCCGAGTTGAATTTTAGAAAGTTGGGGAAAGTCCCCTGGCCCTGGTATATACAATTGTTCGGCTGGTGCCAGCCAACAAAAATCCCTCATCTAGGATAAGTCCTTTAATATTAAACTTGAAGCATGCATCCCCTGTTGCTGTGGTACAGTACAGGTGGACCCTTTATACGGTAGACAACAAAATGCAAGGGTCGAAAAACATTGTTTTAGAAAACCTCTCTATGGTAGGTGCTCATTTTCAAGAATTAAATTTCTACATATTGTAAAAAAGAATCATTATAAATTTGAACTTCAAGGGGTCAGCAAATAATTCTAGATAGGGAGGTTTTCAGTTTGGAAAATGAGAATTGCGTTCAGGAATTGAACAAAGAATGCCAAAAAATTGTGACTTGCTAATATTTTCATGTTGCTTCTCAAATGAGTTGGCAGGATGCTGCACTTGGAGACAAGGGTTTCTTTGCCCTACTTTTCATCAAATTCCTTTCAAAATACCTTGAGTAAAACATCTTCATTGATTTACTTTTTCCTGTGTCAATAAAATTATAGCCAAAAAGCCTCTGCAAAATTTCAATTATGGAGTCTTGAAGCAAAAAGCTTTTCAGGAAGAGAGGTTATTTTCAAGCATAATTTCAGAGGGAATTCAAAAAGTGACTTGAAAAAAAGCAAAATAAGTGGTTTCACCATTGGAGGTTAGAGTTATCAAGGTTCAACTGTACTGTACTATACAGAGAAAATCATGGTGGAAATAACTTTTGTAGAAAGTCTACCTGCACAGTATTTTTTCCAGAGAGGAGGGGGCTTATATCCATGTAATTGATCTCTCCTTGCCAACTGAATTTATTTGTCTACTTTTCATCCAAACTACATATCTGTATCCTGGTTGTAGTTTCTACTATGCATTCATTTTTGTGCAACTTGGTCATGAGGCTTGCTTGTGAGACCAATCGGTTAAGTGTCTTCGATTAAAATAATTGTGGAAATATTCTTCACTGAAAAGACATTAATACAAAGTTATAGGGGGCCAGTAAAATACTGTTTTCATTATACAGTAATGAACAATTTTGTAAAGCAAGCCAGGGTTCTTGAAGAATTGGGACGGCAATTTTATGTGAGACACATATTATTTGAATTGAGGTTACACAACAGGTATTTCAAGAATTTTCATAACTTCAAATTTTTTAAAGGACTAATCTGGACAAATCAAAAACGTAAAATAAAATCCTCTCATTTTAGACTTTTTCCCTTATACTGTATCTTCAAAAAATGTACTAGTTCTAGTGAAATATACACAAAATAAATAAAACATGTTCAATAAGAGAAAGTATTCCCTTACAGACAGCATGTTCCCAAAAATAGCAGTAAAGTATTATTTCAAATATGCCATATATTTGAAAAAATTGAGCGTTTACAAATCCTAAAGTGGATCTACATGAATTCTGATAAGGGTGTTATGTTTCATACTTCCCATCATCATGCAAAATTTCCTGTGCATAAAAATTATCATTGCTATACTTCAATGATTTTTCTTCATGCTCAAGATGGATTTCCAGTTTTCTCTCAATCCTTAAAAATTTGTTTTACCAGTAACACAGGGTCTCAGCTTACGAACTTAATTGGTTACTGTCCAAAAATTGTCAGCCAAATTGTTTGGTAGCTGAATGACATTAATAAGATTGGTTCCAAAACCTTGCAAGTCCCCATGAAGATCAAGAAAAATTTTCCAAATATTTTTCATATGCGTAAAAGTCAAATTTTAAGACAATATGAAGAAATTGTTCACACCATCAATTTGGCCATGTGAAAGGTATGGCAATATTCAGTAAGAATGAATGGAATACAGAGATTTTGCTCAAAGATAATATTTTCATATCGGACAACACTGTTAGACACTGTTTTTATCTTACTTTCTACATATTTTTCATCACGTTTCACAAGTCAAAAATCTTCAATTTTGAACAAATTAGAATGAATGAAAATGGGATTTTAAGAATCCATCATTAAGTTCGTGATACATTCCGAGATAAATCAATAAGGGAGTTTATAATGGAAACCCTCAGTTTTGCTAAAAAAAAAAATTCCTTTTGACCCAAAATCAAAGTTTGTCTGCTGGGAAGCTTGTAAGCAAGGGCATTTGTAAGTCACGACTCCACTGTAGAATCAAACAAAAAGTGTATTATACTGATACTATTGTTGAAAATTAGTTTTTAAAAATAACTTTCAATGGAAAACCTGCTGAGACCGAGAAAACATGGCTGTAGCAAAATTTGTTATCATAAGATCCATTTAACGGAAAGTTACTTTACCGGTCCGTGGTTCTGAAAAGCGTCCGGAGCTCTGGAGCACCGCAGCGAAGCACCAGCCCAGAGCAGGCGATTGTGCCCCGACTCCCGAGCCAAGCAGAGAAAATTCTTTTTGAACCCTGCTCCAAGTCCCTGACTAAAATATCTACGTAGATAAAATATATCCTCCCCACACATCAGCGCGTCAGAGTGATGCGTTTCGTCCCAGGAAATTATCCCAAAGTGGCATCATGTCATTCTTTTGATCAAGTGTGATTCCAGGCATTCATCATACAATGCGCGAAGAATTCTTGCTGGAGTTTGAGTTGTTCTATATCGATCGTCAGTCAATGGATCGCCGCGCAACATGTGCAGACAACGTCATTTGTACTGCCTTGCCAGAGAGAATCATACGACTGTACAAGAATAAAAGGGGGCCTAGGTATCCAGGTGCTGCTGGGCAGCACCGGAACAAGATATGTGATGGGATTGGGACAGGCGATGGCCCATGCCGGCAGTTGGCGATGGAGTAGAGGACGGCGATACCCCTCCTCCTCCTCCTCCACTGCTCGGGGTATGCACGAGCAGCGCCCCAGCACCAGCACCAGCACCCGGGGGAGAGGCAGTGCCTGGATGAGCATGCAACACCATGCCTTGCGGGGAATACGCGGCCTGGGCATGGTGGTGGTGCTGCTGCTGGTGCACGGGGATGTGGTGAGGGGGCACGTGGTAAGCACCTGCACCACCACTATGCTGATGATGGTGGTGGTGATGGTGGGCAGCAGCAGCAGCAGCTGCTGCACCATGGTGGTGGTGGTGGTGCAGCAAAGGCGGTGACATCTGGGTCGCATGCGACAATGGCGGCGCGGCGCCGAACATAATGCTCGTAGGGGCTCTTACTTTCTCATCGTCCACCGAGTACGTGAGGTCCGTTTCCTCAAAGCCCGACGGCTGGCCACGAGGGTCATTGGCGTGGCAGTGCGGGTCTGCTGGTGGGTCCGGGCTGTTGAGGCACATCTGGATCAGGTCCTTGCCCGTGTCCGAAGTGATCATGGGCTGCAGCTTCCGCGTGGCGAACGTGTACACATGCCCGGTCTCACTGGCCACCAGGAGCATGACTTGCGTGCCGGTCAACGTCGACAGCTCGTACGCCTGTGCAGAACAAAACACAAAACAACATGTCAAGAAGTTTGACGAACACAACAAACGTGAAACGTGATTTTGGCAGCCCCGAACAGGCACAAGCCAACGATGGGTGCTGATGGACTCGAAGCACGTGTCTCGTACACCACAAGTAGAGCGCATATAAACAAATAACACTCGCTCATGCGATAGAGCTAGAACGTTAGACCAGGTACGGTTCACTTCGGACGGGGATACCATCAACGCAATCTCATTCGCGAAACTGTTCCGCGATAGGAGCAGGATGAGCCGAACACTAGAAAAAATCTCCCGGTTTTCGTGCATCTTCTGTCTCGTTCACAGACGACATCACAAAAGGCAAGGCTAAACAAAACAAAAAATCACAAGAGCAACAAACTATTCACGTACGCACAAGACAAACATATTTGAAAGATGAGCTCACAAGTCTGCAGATACTCAAGAACCGAACAAACTTCGTAGAACAGTTATGAGAACTCAAAGGACATTCTTGAACTGTTCACAAAACAAACAGCCATGTTTCAACTGACTAAGCTGCTCGATCCAGAGATATTCCAGTACAGTATGTTTTAGTACTTCAGATTGAGTCTCAAGAGAACTTAAGTTCCTTACGTGCAGCTTTACCCACCGATTTTAATTACAACCCCACATATGGCTATTTTCGGCTATTTTAATGATTCACGAACGTAGAGAAATTTAAACATTTTCTGAAGAACACGTCAACAGGTAACGGTAGATTTAGACAAAGCTTCATAGTTCTGAAAGATCTGGGCATTATGGTCACCATCATGCGGGAGACAGTTATATTTGGGCAACGGCTGAAAGGATACTTCGGCTCCACCAAAGAGTAAGTCACATTGCAAAAGTTAATGAAAGCAATAGCACGTCTAAAAGGATGAGAACATCTACGTGTACAGTGAACGGGCTAAAGCAAATCCTATCCACAGTTTGAAGTTGGATAAGCACAACGAACCTTCTTCATAATGCCCGTTTTTCGCTTTGAGAATGTAGTGTAGCGACGAAGCTTGTTATCAATGAACTCCATCTTGATTTTGACACGACCCTTGGTCTTTTTGCCGTTGGGCAGACCCAGCTTTGCCTGGCTATCCCTGGGATGACTGGTGCTGGGCTGCGGGTCTTGCACTTGTTGGCCCGTGCTACCACCTCCACCTGGACCACCCTGAGTTGCCACCAAGGTCTTCATGCCATTGGAGTCACACAAATACTGACTGTGTCCGTGGAGGCTCATCTCCTCCACTTTCATGTTGTTATTCCCCATTTGCGCCATCTGAGAATGCTGGGCATCCTGCGCTTCCAAGCCGTGGTAGTGAGCTGGGATGTAGTTGTCCATCTGGCCCACGGGGCTCATCGCCCACTGTTACAGCACACAAAATAACTCTCCATTCAAACACGCACCGGTTCTACAGTTACAAGGTCGAACAACGAATGCTGTAAGCAAACAATGGTCCTCGTCAATAAGCGGGAACGGTACATGAACAGGGTAGGTCGTTCGTGCACTGATCCTTGAAAATTGAGGACAAACGGATACCCAGCATAACCAAGGATTCACCTTTCTTGACTACTGAGTAAATAATTCAGGGATCTGAAAAAACCGAAGAACTCGGCTGTAGAATATAGTATACGGTAATTTCATGATTTTCATCAGTGGTCCTGTATTCCGCGTCTAACATCACCGGAAATACATGAATAACCAAGATAATCAATGTTCAATGTTTCAGAACTGCACCGATCACATTTGCGAGTTCTGCACCGATCACAATTGCGAGTTCTGCACCTACCACAATTTCAATGAACTTCTCAGCGGAAAAGCAGAAAACCGTTCAATGTGAAAATCCACGATTCATGGGGGAAAAACGAGCACACAACAGGTCAACAAGGATACCGTCGGAAATTTAAGACGATAGAAAACCATTTCTTCGCTCAGCGAGTGTAGACGTTCATCTTCTCAACACACACAGTTCACAAATGTTTTGCGAACAGTTTCTGACCAACACCGAAGGTTCCACGCAAAATCGTGCAACACTCAGTGACGAAAATCCCGCGGCCGAAAACCTTCTGGGCTGCTCCTAGGGCGCCAGTCCCCGTTTGGACGCCGAACACTTACAGAGCCAGCAGGTTCCGCGTCACGCCATTGAGTGACTTCAATTTGATGCCAGTTTGGCATTAGACTTAGCACAAAAGCACTGCTGTTGACAGTGCAGGGATTTCGTTTATCACCAGCAGCTTACATTGGGCCCTTCATGCCCATTGTTGTAGCTGCAGTGACCTCTGCTGATGTTGGTAGCATGGCACACTTTCCCTGGTTGGTGATGGTTTTGGTTCAGAAGTATCCTTTGTTGATATGTCAGTATAGTTCCTAAGACACATTTGCAGGCCCTTGTGTCCACCCATTCATATGAATTTTGAAACTGGTACAAATTTTTAGGTTTAAAAGTAATTGAATAACAAAATTCCAATAATGAAAGCAAATTTTAATTTGAATTTCCAATTTGTAAAGTCTTTCACAAAGCTGGAAATTCATGCCTGGAAATACAAAGCCTGTGGAATGATTTTTTTTTTGAACATTTAAAGTCATTCGTTTTTTTACAAATGAAAACAAATTTTGAAATACTTGTATATATGTTGAGGTTTCTGCATAAGCTCAGTCAAAAAATGAAAGAAAAACTAAAAATTTAGAAAAAAAGAATTCAAAAAATTCCGGGGAATTTGTTGTTTTGAAATGTTACTGTACAGTTGAACTTTTATTGAAGTGCAATTGCAAAAGCTTAAAACATCGTCAAGTACCTTAGAAATAAAATGCATCCTATACTGGAATGTCCACAAAAATCAATTAAACTTTTACCAAATTGAAAATATGTAATATTTTATGCATATGTAACCACTTTATTCTGTATACAGCACATCCCTGTACAAAATGAGAAAAATTCATCAAATGAAAAGTTCAAACATTTGTATGCATGAATTCACATGCATTCTGAAGCTGTAACCTGTACCAATCTCAACATACAGTATTCTTTACCTCATGTTGAATCTAGCATGGGTTTTTGAAAGCATCAAATGTACCATTATTTTAAACAATTTTTCATATTCTCTGTACTGCAAAGAAACAATCCTGAAGAATAGTCATGGGGCCTACTCAGTCAAAAGGTATGGTGAAAAGAAACGTTTATTCAATAATTTTAGGAGAAAATTTAGTTCAAAAAATAAATCCCAGAGCTATTGAAATCATTGTATATGCAGAAAAATTCCTGATCATTCCATGAAAAAAGCATGCCATACATTCTATGCATGAAGTGAATTATAATTCACTGGCACTGAGAAGACTTTATACACAGTCATTCTTCATCAAGCACTGCACAGAAATAATGGGAATTCTTGAAGTCACTCACAACTGGCTTCCAAGGAGAGAATGTCATTAGCAGAGGATAGACCGCCAAGCCAGTAGCGCCAGAGGAAATAGCGCTCAAACCTGCGGCGACATTGGATAGGTCCACCACGAAACTCATATATCTCAGGTCCAAAGACACCGAACAGGGGCCAGCCCATACCTGGATGCCTCACTGCAGCAAAAACTTTCTGGATTTCTTGAACTTAACGATGCCAAGCCACGCCGTTTAATAGATGTCGCCTTGATGTAAAATGTGGATTTCTCCAGGCAGGCAGCGTGAGCGTCGGGGAACATTCTGCGACACCTATCCGCAGTATATTGTAATGATCGCGATTCCTTCTGATGTATTTCATCATGGTGACATTCCGCTGCATTAACGAATTTCGAAGAAGTGCTGTTTTTTCAACGGTGGGTCAGTAAGTTTTCAGTGGAATAAAAAATAAAAAAAACCATGGCCAAGCAGAAAACTTCGTTGCGCTTCAAACGGCTCGAAAAACATATGAATTGATGAAAATTCAATATGTTTCAATTCCAGAGTGAAACGAACTAAATGTCGACTTTCGTTGCGTCCAGTTGAATTTTTCCACGTTATTGGAGGGTATAGGAATTTAGAAATTTGTCTTCAACTCGAAAATGTGCAGATGGAGAGATATAAAAAAAAATACTGTACGCTTAAAATGTGTGATTGGCGATTCGAAACACGGAAAATTCATCCAACACAAGCTGGAATAAATACCATGCGCCTCAGCCCTTGTACTGTAATGAGCAATTGTGGATCCTCGCTGTTTTGTTTTTGATTATTGGAGTCATCCTTTCATTTTGCCTATACTCCAGTGCTCCTGTGTTTTGAAATAGCTTCCCTTACTTGTGGGCCTCCAGTAAAGAAGACTATAGGCAGAGTATCTCATCCTAACACTTGTGTTTTGCTTGATCCAATCAGCACCTATATACTGTATATACAGTACCGAAAAAAAGAATTCACGTTTGGCTTCAACAATGGTGACCCAAAGTTAATTTATAGATCCAGTAACCATGGCATCCACAATGGGAATATTAGGGGTCCACCACAAGCTTGGCACAATTTCCTGCTGATGGATGAAAAACAAATAAGATACATGTAGGCTGCCTTTTTTTTTTTTTTGCACGTCCAGAAATTCTGATGGTCTCAGAATGTAGATTAAATCTGCTTCCCGGGATAGATATAGACTCCATTAAGGGCATATAATATGTGCAGGATAGCAGCAGCAGCACAATAAGGAAGAGATGAAGCAGGGAAAACAGAAAACCCACAAAAGAAAAATATTAATAAAAAAAAACACGCGCGCTTTTTGGCCGGAGGATGGAAATGCTAATGATTGTGCCGGATCAAAGTTGCCACAGGAATCAATTTCATGTAAATTTTTCCCTTCGCCCGCCAATAAGTTCATCGATGGACGGCTTTCCATGCAGGAGTCATTTATGGATTTATAGAGCCCCCAGTTTGAATAAACGTCCTCCGGATGCTTTCCGGGCCAGGCAGCAGCCACGACGAGTATGCAAAAAGGCGGAAATGCAGCAAGGAAGGAAGCAAGCCGGCGAAATTGGATAAGCCCAGCGAGCTGAGGAAAAAGTTTCCCGTCGTACGTTTTCTATAAAGACCAGCAGCACTGCTGATGGGGGAAACCAATCTTTCGAGCCTCGTGTGTGTCCCATTGTTGGCAGGATATCCAACTTTCCAGCAGACCTGTTGTCCGCATCTTTCTACTACTGCACGTATAAGAGGCCACTCGTCAACTGATGGCTCTGACTTGATGATGGCAGGCAGCTGGATTCCCGACAATGAGACACTCTGGTACAGTTCAGTACTTGACTGCATGAGCAGCACTATGAGGAGGATAGCTAGACATGAGGATGAGTCTGCGCACCATGACCATGTGTTCATAATACACATCATCTCTAATTTGTTCATTCAACTAAACCTCATACAGAAACAAGCTGAAGACCTTGTNGAGGATGAGTCTGCGCACCATGACCATGTGTTCATAATACACATCATCTCTAATTTGTTCATTCAACTAAACCTCATACAGAAACAAGCTGAAGACCTTGTGCTTTGATATCAGAGACCATGGTGTCAGCGTATCACCTTTATTCATGATTGAATAAAGTAGCTTGTGAGATTTTGAATTCCCACCCAATATATAAGGAAGATCCCGAAAATTTTGCTACAGATGAGAAACGAACTACTACATGGCAAGGTGAGAAAAAATTGATCCTCAGAGGGTTGGAAGAGAAAAGCACAAGCCAAGTTAAAGAGGAAAAGATGGAAATGTCAGTGGATAAAGACCATCTATTGAAATGACTTTAAAATTTTTGTCCAAATATAAAACTGTTTCACCTAAGAAGTTGCACCAACCAGCGCACTGTCATCTTTAAAAAGCACGTGTACTGCTGATTTAGCTGATGTACATACTGTTTATAGATTACAGTACTCCATCCCTTCTGGCATGATACTTTTCTCAGTGAATGGGTTGAAGAGTCCTGGAGCCAAAACAAAATAAGACCATCCTAATCACATTGCAGTATAGTCCTACTTTAAGGGTCCAGAAGAAAGATGGAGAGTTTGGAATTATTGTGTATTCAGACGAGACAAATATTCTACCTGTTACAATAAAACATACTTGAGAAGCCTCTTTGGTGGCTTCTCATGCATTCAAGGCAATGCGCAGTCATTTGCTGCTTGTTTTGTCAATATCTAAACAAACTAATCAAAGAAACATGTCTCACATGTGGCTCAGCTGGTCATTGCAGAAGGGGAGGATTGTATGTAAGATATCTTTTGCAAGGTTGAGGCTCAGCAGTGAATTCATTGTTAACCTAAGAAATATCAAGCTCTTTAGGATAGCCCTTTCTCATACTTCTTGAAAGCCCCTTCTAAACAAAGGGATTTGCCAAGCTTGCAATATTTCCTCATTTTTTCCTTGACAAGTCATTAGAGAATTAAGCTTTCATCCTAGAAATCCGCCTGCTTCTTCCTCCCACAATTAATAGTCATTTTGGATAATCACTTTTTTTTATTGAATTATGATGGAGATTTTGTCCGTAAAACACCAAATACAAATTATATAATGCAAGTTTAAGGGAAATGCGACACAACTTATGGACATTTTGACTTAGGGACACTCTTGATGCACAAATTACATACAGATCTTGGGGTGTCATTGCACATTACAGTACTGTACTGCCCCATTGGAAAGAAGGAAAACTGGAAAAGGACCCCGCCAGGGAATTGTAGAAATACCTGCACATGGGTCCCATTGTCTGGCATTTTGCATCCATTATTCTCGGTCGGGTATTGACTATATATAGAGACGAGTGCATATAACAGCCAGCAGGCCCCGGGGGAGGAGTTGAGGAAAGTTTTCATTGGGATTCATGGGCTCTGTCACCGGCAGGATCGGGTGCCCTGATCAGCCTCCTTTCCGGCAGCATGATTCCAGATTGATTTTAATGCATGGCCCGGTCCTGATGCTTGGTTCCTCTCCGACTGTAGCTTACAACAGGACCTGTCCAAACCATGCGCCATAATAGTTTGTGCTGGATCATGGCGAAATCGAAACGAAACTGTCCTGGCGGATTTTGGCAATTTCATCAATCTCGTTTCTCCCTATCTCTCTCTCTTGCTCTCTCCCCTTGGAAATTGCCTTCATATGCCAATAAGATGAAAACCAACCATCATGCGGAAAACTGCCCTCCCCCTTGATATTTTGGAAATCTTTGCACCTGTTCCAAGCTTCCAACTGGGGTGAGATGAATTGTAAGCAAATTCTAGATCCCATAGAAATTGAATGTAGGAGTGTGGTGCCAGTTCCCTGCTGGTGTTGATTGTATTTTAAGTTAGACCCCCCCACGTGGACACCTCAACATGTGGACAAATTGGCATAGGGACACTCATTTTCCCATAAAAAATTAATAAAAAAGGCCAAACATCAGGACACTGACTCAACATAGGGACATTTTGTGATAAAATTGCAAATACATTTCAAGCCAAATTACAACAAACAGATATTTTCAAAGCTAAAATTGATGTAAGAAAAGTTCTTGGGCATTTCTTTCACCAATTTACCATTCCATCAGCTAATTTTGAGAAAATCACCTTCTGTATAGAGGGACTTCCTTCTCTGTCTCTCACTTGAATGTTATTTTTTTTTTACAGAGAATGCCAACATTTCTATGTACTGTACTTTACAGAGGTATCCGTTTTCAATCCCCCAAATGTCCATAGTGTGTTGAAATATATTGATTGAATCAATTTAAAAACTTTGATTTTCAAGGAATTATGGTGAGTATTTTGGTCATAAAACACCAATTTAAAATTGAATAATGTTAGTCTAAAGGAAAATGAGGCTTGACCTATAGGGACACTCTTGATGCACCAATGATGTCCACATCTTGGGGGTCTCACTGTATTTGAAAATACTGTAATATGTCACTCAGTTAAGAAAGACAAGGCAGAAAATAATCACAAAGCGCAGAAAATACACAAAGGGAAATGCAAATAAGGAGGTTTACATTTTATTAAATTTCATGAATGCACTTTTAAAAAATCCCGTCAACGATGATGTAAAGCGTGCCTTAATCTTAGGAAAAGCATGTGACGGTGGAGCTTTTCAGGAGCACACTTTTGATGGATGACAGCCAGGTAAAGTGTGAATCAAACCCAACTAGCTGTTGGGAAGCAAATTTCCCTCAGATTTTTGGATTGTATGAACAATTTATTTTTCACAGTTCTCTGCGGGTGTTGAGCAAGACCGGACTGGGCGAGGGGGGGGGGGGGTCACCTATTTTGCATGCCAATAATCCTCCCAACGCGCGTGCGTTCCTTTCATACACAGACCTAAACGTTGATCGATAAGCTTCATTGTCATTGATTCGTATTTAGTTGTTAACTAAACGTACCCACTATTTACCATAGAAATTATGACAATTTGTCAGTCACTTATATTGTTGAAATTTTCTTGTCATGTATCAGCTGGATTGCGACTCATTCACCTCGATGCATTTCCAAGTAACACCTTGGTGTTTACCAGTGGGTTTATGATGACTGCTGATGACACCAAATTTTACCCAGCAAATAATTTGGTGGAGCAAAACATGTGGCAAATGCGTTCTATGCCAAAACTACCACATGTTTCTGTTACACCTACTTGGGACTTTCAATAATGCATAGCATGTATAGATTCTTCAAAACGCCTTCTTGTTACAGTTATTTATTTGTCAGGCATAGCTTAAGTTACACCTGAATAGGATTGTTT